AAACATGAAGAGAAAAAAATCAGTGAATGCGTAGTTGACGTCCTATACGGCGAGTGCAAGCACCCGCCATTCTGACTGACGTGCAAATGTCTCGATGTCTCATCTTTTGGTGCTACAGTAGTGCTGATGTAACTCACCAATGTTAAAACTCCACCAGACGATGCGTGGCCGATACTATATGGAGGCGATAGGGCGTGGGTGCTGGAGAGGATGCAGTCGAATGAGATAGAACGTGAAACGACAGTCGAGAGAGGGCACAGTTCAGCGTAGGAGCCGCTTCACGGGCTTCAGAAAATGAGCGAAATGGTTGGGTGCAGAAAAGGCCTGAGTTTTCCAGACCGTCACTGGGTGTTATACGTGACATTTTGATTGACCATCAATTGATGTCATCAGAGCGCAAGGGGGTGTGAGAATGCGATTTTTTTACATCACGTTGCCTTTACCCTTAAAAATGGTTGGGAGATCAATATGTCAAAGTGCGAGATCCGTTCGGGGTATATTTGGGGATTTTTTTGAGTTTTTTTTTGGAACAAGCACACCGATCGGGACATTTGGTTGAGAAGAAACCTCGATCGGACCCCCCTCCCCCCCCATTTTAGGTATCTCCGTCAGAAAAAATGGGAACAATATAGATTTCGATCCCAGCCATTTCCAAGGCTAACGGCAACGTGAGGTAAAATTTTCGCATTTCCACACCCCCTTGACCGAGCGCCCAACTGGCTTTTACCCTCCTCTCGCTACCTGTCCAAGAAAGATTCTACTATTAGCGCCCACAATTTGGCTTTTACCCTCCTCTTGCCACCGGTGTGATCACTTGGATACAAGCATTGCAGGCACCAGGCGAAAGACTGCTGCTGCCGCCGCGGTCGCCCGGTTTCATGAACTCGTTGAACTTCGGCGGAGGGAGTTTCCTTATCAGCGCGGCGCACACCTTCTCGACGTCCACTATCTTGACCTCCTCAATAACCTTCTTTATCTGCGCCTAGGAACTCTCAGATGGGATCGTCGGCCGTGACGGAACGAACGACGTACTTGGTAAGCCATCTCCAGGCGATCCTTAGGGCGTGGCAAAGTGGAGGTTAATACTTGCTGGAGTGGCTCCAAGTGGACTTGCGCCATGGAGCCTTCGCAGTAATCGGTGCATATAAACGGAATATCGAAGTCAAAAGCTCTAATAATCCATTATAAAGCGCTCCAAGAAAGAAGAAAAAAAGAAAACCTAATAATCACTGGTTGCCACGACAAATATGACCCCAATCCCGCATTTAGAGCAACAATCGCGTCCGGGTGCTTGGATCGTTCACGAGACGGACAATAATACGCTGGGTCCGAGTCAATGTAGACGCGGACTGTACCACTACCCCCGGATGCGGGCCCTGTGTATTCGAACACGCAAGGCCGGGGAGACTGCGTGAGTCCACGGGCTTTCGCGCGTTTTACCGAGTGCGCCGCGTTGGCTCCAAACATTACAAGATCCAAGTCTGTATTAGGAAAGTGAAGTGCAAGTTCCCCAAAGCTGGATGATGTCAATATGCGAGCTTGGAAAACGAGGAGGTTAAACGAACACCGGTATGAAGCATATTTCATCCTACGGGTCAAAATGGCTGATGAGTACAAGTGACAGACAAGATATCAAGACGAGGCCTACTCTGGCACCGACGTAGTAGACGATCAACTTTTTCCTCGATCCCAGGCACGTAGAACCTTCTGGCGCGAGGCCCAGCTCTTTCAGGCATGCGTATACCGACATTGGCCAATGTAGCAACATAGCGGCAGGCGAGGTTATCGGCAGCCCTCGCCATTGATAATAACTCTTCCAAGTTTCTTCGAATTCAGGGGGGAAAGTCGGGCAGGCGTCCGAGTTGTGCAGCGCGAGCGAAGGAATGTCCTCCGTTTTCAGTCTCCATCCTTCGGCTTCAGTCAGTTGGCACCACGGCGCATCGACCACCTCGTCCGGCGCAGCGGGACCCTCGGCTCTGCTGTTAATTGCCCAGTATCCCACTTTTTTTCTGCTGGTGCCAAGGATACCGAATTGCGCCAGGACGAAATTATCGCTGAATTGGCCTTGAGCGTTGTACGCGATGTCTGTCCACGCAAACTGATCTATGACGCCTTTGTACCTGGGAATCTGTTCTCGGTCTCTCTATGAAAGGCCATTTACCATCTCAGTATACGATCACCATCTTCTCACTGACCTTCACCGCAGAACAGATTTGCTTGTGATTCTTCCATCCCAGCTTGGCGCATTGAGGTGAGCAATAGATGGCCGCCTTGCATGCCGAGCAAACCTTGACCTTCCGTGTCCTTCAGCATCACTGCAGTAAAATGAGAGTGGAATCTACCTCCACGACGAATCGTTGACAATGAGTCAAACAGCATCGGGGTGGCTGATATATAGCGAGGCGCGATGTTGGGTTGAGCTTAATACGCTCCCATTCTTTTAGCAGCAACTTGATCTGGTCTTCCAGTTGCGCCTCCATCGTGGCTGAAGGAAAGAAGATGCCTTTGTTACAAGCGTTTTTATTGTTGTACGTAGTCTTCTGAGAAGTAAGTTTGGCACGCGCCCCGGCAAAATCCGAAACGCGTCAGCCGCAAATGGAAAGTCGGTTCAAACTACTCTTTCACCATGACCTCTTTGTACATGTATTCGTCTGGCTCGGGTCCCCTCCCTTCCGACACGTCTGCTGGGTCCCTGGATCTCAGTCACTACGCCCTCGATGATTCGCTACTCTCTGAATCCCTTACGCTCTCTTCTCTATCTTCGTCCACATCCTCTACCCCACCCATTCCCGCAGGCTGCATGGTCCCGCTGTCCACCATCATTGGACATCACGAAGGCCCCACTATGTTCCGGCGCGCCTCCTCGCGCAGGGTCTCTAAAGCGACGCTCACATCGCCGACACCTCCCCGGCTCCGGACGATGCTGAGAGAGAAATTACTGGTCGAGTCGTGGCTGGTAAATCTTCCTTCTCGCTCCTTCTTTACACGTTGCTAACGACGCCCCCATTCGCCACAGCATAGCGTTGACTCTGACCAGTCTGACCATACGCCGTGGGCTGGCATTGACAATGTCAAAGCGATACCTTGGAAATCGGAAGGTTCGATCCACACTCCGGCCGCGTTCAAGACGAAGATGGCCTTTGCTCGACGCAACCGCAGCGCCGAATCCAAGGAACAAGACTCAACTCCTTCTATCTTTGTTACGGCGCCTGCGGGCATCTGCCAACGAACGGCTAATCGAAATGCGTTGGTTTTCGAACGCGAAATCATTTTGGACTCTGGCGGCACATCCAGGCGCTTGTCCCTTCGGGCCTCGGCAGAAACGATGGATCCAGAGGTAGCAGAAATGATATCCGAACTGCAGAACCTTAGCTCGTTTTTCAAGAAGCAAGAGTCGAGTTCTTCAGATCACGCAGTCGCACCGCCCCAGCCGCCTTCCCTTATCGTTTCCAATTCTCATTTCTCACTGCCAGTCTCCCTCGAATCCTCGGGAAATCTGAAACCGGGTGTTCCTGTCGCTCTAGCGGCTCGCAGAGGCAAGAAAATGCTACCGCCATTGTCGTTCAAGCCGGCGTCTGACGAGGACGCGTACCCCAGCATGCCCAGTGCATTCCTGGGTTCTCCTTCCGCCTATTCCCCCAAGTTTGAATTTGCGTCTGACCCTAACCGCCGGTCGATGGATCTCCAACAAATGGTCACAAGTTTGAGGTCGCAATGCGCCTCGATTGACTCTGGTGCCCCATTCGCCGCGGCCGATTCGGTGACTGCATTGCCGACTGCCGCCAACGGAGAAGACGACGAGTGGGCATTCGCAGACGGCCTGTTGGGTCTGTATAATTCGCACCCGTTCGACTCGGATTTCGTCAAGAAGCCCCTTCTGCCGCACATGGTCGACTACGCCGAAGAGTCACTTGCAGATGATCCTTTGTATACGCGTCCTATTTCGGTCCTGAACGCCCCTCCTTCAACGCCCCTCCCGCCCTGCCCGGCATCCCAGCGGGCAAGCGTACGGAGTATTCTGAAGAGCTCCAAGAGCGTTCGCTTCGCTTCTTTGCCGAACGAACGTCCAGTCTCTATTGCGGTCCCAGCGATTCGAGCACCGCGCCGATCGCTCGGCCCGTCGATTTCTCCGAGAAAGCCGCCGGTCCCGCTCCGACCAAGATCTCACACTACAGTGCGGCCCACCATTCCCGCCCCACTGCGGTCTCCTCCCCCGAAACCTACGGCGACGCCTGGTCGATCCCCAGGTCAAAGAAGGGCGACTACTCCCGCAGCTTCCTGCCGTCTGACTTCGCCCGCTTCGTCCCCCGTCAGGCCTTGTGCCTCGACCATGGGCAGCCCCCCCAAAAGCGCAGCCTCTAGCGGGCGCAACTCTCTCAGCCGTGTCTTTTCGAATGCTACGGCTCCAAAGGAGAAGGAGAACAACGCTGGCTCGCCGAACCCGCCAACCCCGAGTCGTACGCGGTGGACGCTGAACGAGAACGTCCTGAGGCGTGCATCGATTTCAGAGCCTTTGACACAGAAAAGTCGTATGCCGGTTCCTCTCCGCAACATTCTGACGAGGTTCAAGTAGAATGAGCGGACTGTATCTGGCTGTAATAGTATGTACGATGTTGACCAATCACATCTGGTCTGATGTCAGACCTTCGAAAACTTGTGAAGTTCCATCTTCTGCCTTTTCGGCTTCGAAGATCAACGGCATCCGACGACACTTTACGTCTTTCTCAGTGGGTGTGATCATTCACGGGAAATGAGGGAGGGGAATAGCCAAGCCTTTACTGAGCTTTACTGAGTTCTAATATGAAGTGAAGTCAGAAGCAAGTTCTGCGCAATCATTGGGAATTTCATAGAGCTCTTGGACCGGGCAGCATCCACCAGCAATCCTTCCCATCGGAGTATAATTCCTTGCAGCGTTGTATGATCATTTGGCAGAAAATTGACACGAATTGGGCCGCGCGAGCCGTCCTCGATCTCACTCTCTGACCAGACTCCTTCTCATCGGCCTGATGGTCTAGTAGTATGATTCCTTGTTAGGGTGTCCCGTGATTATATAATCCGGGAATCACGTGACCTCGAGGAGGTCCTGGGTTCAATTCCCAGTTAGGCCCTTTTGCGCATTTTGGGCATTTTTGCCCAATTTGCGTAACTCGAACGGAAGAGCACCTTTCCCTGCGTTTCCCAGAATATTTCCGTGTTTTTTGGATAGCGGGGACGGTGTAAAGAATGGTCGGAAGCTCAAGTCTTGTCGGAATCACCTCCTTACCATCACCACTTGATCACCACCCGATTCACAAATTCACCTGTGGACAGTACGAGACGCTCCTGCTGGCTACATGCAACATTGGCAACATTGCCCACTATGGCACTCATCCCCGCGGCCTTGCCCTGGACCTCCTTCTCAAATCGGTGTCGTCGCCGTAGCCCATATTTTTTGGCAACCAAGTACTCGCATCTAAACCTCCATAATCCGAGGCGACTCGCGCTCTGGCAGCTTAGCAGATACCTCACGCTGCCGCTGTCAAGAAGGACTTCCGTCACTGCGACATTATTTCCCTGGACTTCAACTTCCTCGTCGTCGCTCCTGTCTCATTCCGTCAAAATGCCCTGTAGACCCGAGCTTTCTACTGAAGGCTCGGTCTAATGTTAGAGGCTGAGACTGGACAACTTACATGGCTTCTGACGCAGGGCGAAGAGCTCGCGATCTCCTAGGCATGCTCGTCATCCGTGTCCATCCATCAAAATGCCCTGTAGACCCGAGCCATAAATGGAGGGTCTAACGTTAGAGGCTACGACTCGCGCGACGATGCTGCAATGCGAGGCCCGAATACTCGAGCAGGTTTCAGGCCCCCTGTCTTTCATTGTCAATATGTCTTCTAGATTCCAGTGCAAGCATCGGCTGGAAGTCTGGTGTAAGAGGCTGAGACCAATCTTAATTGTCAGCAGATATGAGCGCATCGATAGCATAATTCACTCACATTTGAATCAGTTTACCGCTGCAAACTCGCATACTGGTGGACATTGGGGATTTTCACCTGGGAGGGGAGAACTCCACTCAGGTCCCATCGGGTTTCAACCAAATGTCCTGCCATACTACAAAGTGGCCGGCCAGTATGAGCATCTTGCATACTCTGTCCGACCTGTTTCTTTCATACTTGATTTCGGATGACACCCGACCCTGGGGATTTTTTCCATGCCCAAATTCCCGCGCGGTATTTTTATTTTTTTCGTACTTGATGTTGCGGCGGGCATGGAAGGGTTACTCAGGTAATCCAGTGGCTGAAGACTGAGAGCATGCATTGTGACGCCATGTATGTAGTACGGGCCCCGGCTGTTTCTTAACGGGACCGCGCCTACCTACCTACCTTCGATCACTTCCACCCTCTTCAAGTTTCCTCTTTCGGAACTTGAATTGTGGAACTTACTTCTCGCCTACCTCAGTAAGCGAGATCGTATAGGGCCGACAATTCACAGATACATTTATGTGGCATCCAAGGAGAACCAAAGGAGAAGTTGAAAGAACTTTCTGAATGATGGCGCCGCCGCCGCCACTGCCCGGGCCCAGGCCAGTGGTTGTTCCTTACAGTGGACACAAGGTTTAAACAATAATGAACAGGAACGCTCGCCTCGACAGCGCCTCAGTTGCCAAATGCAGACGCCTTGGATCTCCGAGCCCGTCGCAGCCTGGGTGGGCTGCGCGAGGCGAGCCGTTGAATCTGGATCGCGGAGATGTCCAACGGACAATCTATTGCCGTGGACAACTTAAACGTTAGATACAGGGCCCTCGATTGAGCACCGGCGACATACGCATACATACTTACATTCATTACTCCCGCGTACAAATACACTCGAGATCCATCAGCCCCTACATTCCCCGCCCCCTGGTGGCGCCCCTCCCGGCGTATCCTACACGGAATATTCCGCCCATCGGAAAGCCCGCCTGGTGGGGATTCTGGATGGGCAGACCATGCCCGCCACGGACAGGTCTGATGGGGCGTCGCGGTGTTTCCTCGACGAGCTCCTCCTCCTCAGATCCTTCCTCTTCATCCGGCTGCAGACGAATTTAGCCACCTGCCCTACAGCGCGCGATACCAAAACAAACTGACCTGTAGATCGATTACCAAGGCCCCTACGCGCCGGATTAGTCCAGACGTCTTGACAAACTGATTGTGGAATCTCACCTGTCTGCCAGCCCGATGCGCAGGCCGAGAAACAAAATCTTTCCGTCGGCGTTTTGCGCGCATGATCAAAGCGGACCTCGGTCGGGACGGCCGTGTTGGGCGGGGTCCCATGGCCGCGCTCGAGAGCATTTAGGCGCTCGCGCTCGGCGGCGAACGCGCCGGGCGCCCCAATGGGGAGCACGGTCGGGTCTCCGAGCCCCAGTGCTCCGGCCGAGTAGCCACCCCACGTCAACAGCTTGCCAGAGGACGTCAAAGCGGCATTATGCCAATCGCCTACAAGTACTGATATGACAGATTTGTTTTGCAAGGCGGGGTCAATATGTGGATTTGTTTCCTCCGTTGTATCCGTATCGCCCATAAGCACCACGGAGCTCGCGCCGGTCGAGTATGCAAAGAACTTTAAAAAGTGTGCGGAAATCTGTACGCGTGATATTGGTAGCGCACCACAAATCATTGAATTGGCTCACATGAGTGATCTTCATCGTTCGAGGTGCCTCGCTTCCGGATGTGTCGTCCGTTGGCGTGAAGGGCGACATGGTGCGTACTCGGTCGAGCTCACTGAAGTTGGGAAGCTGGACGCGGATCTGTATCAGCAGAGCAATTGAATGCGCCAAAGTACTTGCGTATTGCCACCTCCCACGGGAAAATGTGCTCTCATCCTCAAGACCAGAGAAGAGTACGACGTGGCCCTGGTTTGTCAAAGCAACCATGTGCGCGTCGAACGCAGCGATCTTGATAATCTTGATTTCTTCTACGATTTCATCGCCTGTGCTAGATAATTGAGGGAGGGACGGAAGTGGAGGCAACCTGTCGGGGTCGGCCTCAAGGTTCCAGGTAGCACAAGGAATCATTCCGCCAGACGAGGCCGCAGTAAACTGGCGCCCTTCGTCCATCGATGCGTTCTTGGCATCGATTTGCTCTAGCATACGTCCAGACCGTGGCCACCACACGAATACCTCGCCCGACTTGGTAAGAAGAGAGGAAAAGTTCCATCCGCATTCGACCTGGATCGGTTTGGAGTCCCGGAGAAGATGTCGAGAAGAAAGAGTGAATGGACGGCCCCAGCTCGTGAATGTCCAAACTTGGCCCTTGGAATCCAGTGCGCAAGAATGGAGTCTCCCGCAGCTAAATGGAGGTTATTCCCCAAAGTTGCAACTATACAAGCGAAGGAACTTGCCTGATTTCCTTGATACGAGAGGGCAGGTCTAGGCGCAACGGCTGAGGGGCCGTTTTCCCGGGCTCAGAGTATCCATCACTGGTCAAAGTCGAAGAGGTTGCGTTCAAAGTTCCTGGGAAAGTGTTCAGAATAAGGAAGCCTCGGACGGCTCTGTGTTTACCCCAGACGTAGATGCTGCCCTCTGAATCAAGCGCATGGAATGACCTGGGTGTACGAGATAAGAAGGCACTGCGAGTAGAAACAGACAACCCTACATTCCACCAGCAACGATACTAACAATCCGGGCGCCCGGTATCCTCAATTGTGTGGGAAATGGTACACCATTACGGACATTGCATTTAGGGACTTTGGACCCCAGTCCGAGTCTTCCGTGAGTTTTCTCGCTAAGTCCTGATTAAATAGGTCCAATGAGAAGAGCCGTAGTACTTACCCCCAGACAAAGACTGAGAAACAGAAGGACACAGGTGAGAAATTTGAACAGCTACCCGACAAACTTGCCTTTCGGGTTAAACAATCCTCTATATATAAATTTCCATCCGCTCACGCGAGCGGTGCCAGCCCCGGAGAAATTGAAATCGGTCTGCAGCCTGCGCTGCCATAACAACTCGTCGGCACAGATGTCAGCGAACAACTGAGCGAGAGTAAACGAAATGACGAATGCATTAGTGTTCTTAAGTGGCGCACTTTATTGGTGCAGCCCAGTCGAACAACGCTCTGGATCGACATGACCATTAGAAGGTTATCGAGGATGACCTCGACGGGGACGGTTTGGAGCGACATGGTGGTTGAGGAATAAGCTCAGGTTGGCGCAGCAGTTCGCAGCAGATGATGTCACTGACCACTTTGGGCCATCGTTATCCGAGTCACAGTCTCGCCCTTCCTCATCGTCGCCCTTGAAGTTGTGTACGATAATCACTCGCACAGTCCCCGAGCCCCGGTCGTCGCCGCAATCCCCTCTCCCATCCACACGCTCGGTTTCACTTCCGATATCAGCAAACGGATATCCGCACACGGCTGTCGCTCGCCGTGCTCAGTTGCTGCAACCGCCTTGGCGATCACGTCTGTACCTTTTGGGCGTCCTCTCGGCCAGCTCCGCTTCGGCGATCTCGCCTAGTCCTGGCATCCTCTGATTCAGACAATTTATTTTTCCTGTCGCTACTGCGACGCTCTGCGGCATTCACTTCTCGGCATTCCCCTTTCCCGATCTCGAGACACACCTGTCGGGCAGACCTGACACCGAGTCCTTGTCCATCTACTCGCCATCCCATCGCTCGGTCTACCTATGCCATCCTTGCAATACACTCTTGCTCGCATCACCGCCGCCTACCTCGTTCGGGTTGTCCAATTTTCTATATGCTGCCGGCTGGATGTCACTTTGGAGAGTACTTCGCTGACCGTCTGTCACCTTCGCATTTTATCCTCTTGCTGTGATTGGAAGCTGGTAAGTAATTTCAACGGAGAAAACTCCGCGTTGATCTACTTATGATTGCGCCCTTCGGCGCATCGCACTGATCCTGCGCAGTCGCGCATTCTTGACGTCTCGTTCGCCCGATTAGTGGGCAGCAATGACACACGTGTTCCCGCCTCCCTAGCGGTACATACATCTTAATAGTTGCAGATACCTCCGCTCTCCCAATCTCATCAAGCGATCTCCCGCCCTGGAATGATTGTTTTTTGAAATGCCGAACACGCAACTCGGATGTATGCGCGAAAAGCTGACATCATATTTAGTATCTCCGAAATATATATCTAT